GGAAAGAGGGAGCGAAGTTCAAAATCTTGCCTCAACTGAAATTGAATGCTTTTCTGTGGAAACCACTGATTTTCCTTTCAAAACTCTATCTTCATCACTTCCATCCAATCCACCAGAACTCGTAATTTGGTCTGTTATTTCAATCACTGCTTCCGTTAGCTCTGTGTCATTCTGAGCATTTGAAACAGAGATATGTGTGCTAGAGTGCACTTCTTGTACTTGAACTTCATCTCCCAACTCAATCTCAACATCCTTCAATGAGCATTCTGAAAATTTTTATAACAAAAATCGGTAAGCAAAATCGAAGATTTGTTAATCTGGAAATAACTACAAGATCCTGTGCATCTTAATAAAACTCACAGGTTAACAAAAATTTAACAGCTCCAAGGCTATCAAATCAAGTTGGAATACGTCCAAGAAACAACAAATTGATCGAAAAAATATGATAAAAATCACCAAAGTCACAACCAACCTATACATGGCTACTGATTTTTTACACCGTGTAAATAAATAGACATGTTACTTTCTCTGTTGACAAAAAATATAACTAACCTTCATAGGAACTGGCTTGAGTACTAACTGGTCTCCAAACAGGGTTAATTGCCTTGAGCTTTTTGTTCTGCTTCCCTTCACGCTGCTTATCTTTTCCGCCGCCCATTTTAACCTTACAGTTCAAAACATGATAGGTTCTGTATTCCTGTCGCAGGGGTTTATGTCAGAAAAGTAAGAACCAATAGCAAATTTTGAGTTCGATCAGAAATCCAGTTTCATTTGATTATGTACTTCTTGAATATCTGCAAACATGCAAAATAGAATAAACCTACTTCGACTTATATATCTTGTTATGGTGAGAATGTACACACTACACAGTAAAGATGGATTTTCTTTTTTCACATGGGACAAGTTCGACTTATAAATCTAAACGTTATAAATTTCCATATTGCTACTTCGAGTTATGCAATTGTAAGAATATATGATTACAGTTAATCTTAACATTATAACTTTTTCAAAACTTTCTTATGTGCAATAAACAATGAAATTATAGTACATAAAGTCTCAAATGACGGCGAAAATTTAATTAAATTCCTAAAATTGCCTTTTGTTCTTTTGCTTCAATAAAATTACAAGAAATTGACAAATAAATAAAAATAAAAATAAGAATATAAAACTAACCTGAAAGTAACCTGCTTTCTTCAATGCATTACAAGAATTCGTTAGTTTCAGAACACGGTCTACTCTGCAACAACAGGACAACAAATAAGCTTTTTTTTTTCCAAAATTTAAACTTTGTGAATTTTTATTAATTTAGAGTCAGAAAGGGACGAAGAAGTTTTGTGATTGAAAATTTAATAGAGATGATTGAGCTTTTTGTTCACTTCAGTGAAAATTTTGGAGTGAGATTTGAAGCTTAAAGAAGAAGCGTAAGAAAGAATTAAGAAGAGCGTACCTGAAGAAGGGCTTGCAAGCTATCATGAGTGTGTCTTTCTTCCTTTTCGTCAGCGGACGAAGGAATGGGTTTTTGCACGCGACTCTGTCTAATGGGCTTCGTGTCTGTCACACGTGCAAGGGAGCAACTCGTTGGGCCGTCCGTGAGTTCGTAAGAAAACCAGAAACTTTTTTTATTTAAATTTTTGTGAGATAAGGTATTGTAATAGAATTATTATGGTTTTAAAGAATTAATTTTTTTTTTTAACTTTTTTTAGAGGATAGGAAATGTATACATAATGGAATTGGATCTAAATATATCTATTATTATAGAATATTATGAAAATATCCACTTGCGTTTAATAAGATATATATAATTCCGGCTATGCTTTTATGAATTGTTTTGGACATGCTTCTTACGCAGTGAATTTTTGTATTTTTGTGTGTTTACTTTTTCTATAATATTAAGATATTTTTTTCTAATAATATTAAGATTTTGACTTTCTTTTTTTATGATATTACAAGCCAGTCCATTCTTTTTTATTTTGGAAAAGTAACTCCTTAACTTCTTTTAATAAATGGAGTAAAAGGACTAAAATTACTAACGTTCGTCAATTTTTTTTACAGAACAACGATACATGCATTGCAGATGATTTATTATTGAGGTATTTAAGAAAAACTTAACGGTAAAGTTGGAAGTTTGAACAGAAAAAGACTTAAGCCCCGTTTGGTTGGGGGATTCTAGATTAAAGATTGGAGTCATGTGCTCAAATCCATGTTTGGTGTCGTATTGGGCTGGCTCAATACTTGAGTTACGGGTCATTTTTTGTATCCTGGTTCAAAATCAGGTCCTCCCATAATTCAGCCTAAACTTCCAATCTTTGCACAGTAAACAACACTGTGCTCTTTGGAGTTAATTCCCACCGCTCTCAAGTAATGAGCAACACTCAACTCCACGTTCTTTGGCAGAGAGCCTTCCAGCCGTCGGTCGTATCTTGGCAGAGATTCTCTGCTTCTCTTGTTTCTCCTTCTTCAATTTTTCACTCCTCTCTTCCCTCATTTCTTCCAGTCTTCGGTCGTGTCTTGGCAGAGATTCTCTGCTTTCTCCTGTGTCTCCTTCTTCAGTTTTCACACCTCTCTTCCCTCATTTCTTCGGGCAATAACTAGGTAAATAACCCAGTTGGTCTTCTCCTCTCTGAGTTGATGAGAAGTGCTTCGAGTAAAGCGCTGCTCGTGAACAAACGACCGAGGCTTCACATTCGTTACCAATTTCGCCAATTCTAGGAAAGTAAGCCCGCTTCATGCCTTTGCCGGAGAGGAACAAGACGCTCATCGAAAAAATACAAAAAACCTTCATCCGCGTTTGGTGTTTTGCCAGCAGTGACGTTAATCTCGTCCTCAAAGTCAAACGCTTTACCGGTAAGTGATCCTCACATTATTCAAATTTGTATGGTAATATCATCAGATCAATGTGGTATTTTGCGGTTGATTTACATGTTTGGGTTATTAAATGGTTGATTTCCATGAAGGCATGGCAGTAGTACCTCCCGATACTGTCAATGAAATTGGGGATTAGGGTTTCTATCAATGAATGTTTGGGTTCTTGAATGGTTGCTGTTAGTAGAATTTAGGGCCTTTTGTGGAAATGAGATTTGTAGAATATAGACCACGGTTGCAATGGGTTTCAAATTTTTCATGTCTTTGTCAAAAAAAAATTTCACATCCCAGTACTGAATCAGAATTTGAGGTAGAAAAAATTGTCTTTCTTGCATAAAAGTACAATTTTGTTCTTTCTTTTGTTTGTTCATTTTTACTTTCTGATGAATACTCTGTTTTTCATTCATAAATCTTTTGTATTGCCCTTGCTCACACTCTTGGAGAGAACACAAACTTGATTTTCATATAGATGCAAGTGATTTTTGGTCAACATAACTATTTGGCTCATAGCTATGTGTTTATTTGAGAATGTGATAACGGAGGGGGACCAAAACGAAGTGAGGATGCATTGCTGAGTGTTTATTAGCAACTTGGGGTTGTAATTTTGAGGGCCTTTTTTAATCCCTATTGTCATGGTTTTTGTAGTAGTATAATTATAAAAAAAAAAAAAAAAAAAGCTAGTAGTATTATCATAATTTGAATCTGGAATAGAAGGTTTGTTGACTCAAGGTTTGGATATCATACTTTGGAATAGAAGGTTTTTGAATCTACTTCTATGTAGCTTGACCCTGGTCTAGAAAATAGTTTAGATATGGGTAAAATCTTTGATCCGGAGAAACCCAAGCTTTTGTCTTTCTGTTTCTGTGATTGCTACTACTCAAACATTCTAGCCTATGCCCTGTACAACTTCTATATTATTGTCAATTTCCATTTTAAAAAGTGCTTTGTAAGCACATGGCTATTTTCCACTCAATCAAACAGAGCAAGTGAAGTTGATCTATAGCTAAAACGATAAGAACCTAACCTATATAATGTGAAAAAAAGTGAGCTCAAAGTTAGCTCTTTTTTTGCCTCATGTGGCACTACTTTCCAGTTAGGTTAAAATAGAGCCTCTAAACTCCTTTTAAGTAATTGACTTCTCAACAAAGGGCAACACTTATTCAATCAAGTTGAGTGTGTGGGCAAACAATTTGTAATTGTGACTGTCTTGATATTAATAATCAACTTATATAACAAAGAAACATGGATTTGATAAATAGTAATGAATTAGTTTCCCACAAAAAAAAAAAAAAAATGTAAGACTAATCAACTCACAAAGTACAACTTTAGATCCCTATAAGGCTGGCCATGGTAATTATAGTGTTCACCCCTTTCCTGCTAAAAACCCCCAACAATACATCTTACCCCCAAAAAAAAAAAAAAAAAGTTACAAATGATAATCTTTTACACACTTGCACATGTATCCTTAATAAATTTACTTAAGCTTTGTGAGGTGAGCATTAAAAGCACTTTGTGAACAGACCAAATATATCAACTTGTTGGACGAAGTGGAGCATGCTTGCCCACCCTCCAAAACCAATTCCCACAATGAAAACCCATGGCACCACAAATATGTTCCAAGTATGAGCCTGCCCATCCTCCTAGGAATGACGGTGGTCTTTGTTTGTTTTGTAGTTTCATAATTTTTTTTGCCAATAGTGTTTTCTTTTGGTTGTCATATGCGTTTGTAGATGCCTAGGAAAAACATAGATGAGAGGCCGTTGTATTGGAGCGCCGCTGCAGAGGCGTTCCAACTTGAGCGTCTCTACGAATACCATGGTGCAAATCACGGGAAGCAACTAGAATCTCGTGACTACAACCAATGGGCTATTCAGATGGCCACTTTTTTTTATGGCTACGTACCAGCCGGTGAGCGCCTTAGGGAGAAACGCCACCGAGTTAGTAAGGTTTACGCATCGTTCAAAATGTTACAAAACCATACTAGAGTTGGGTGGGATTCTATCAACAAAACTTTCACATGCTCGGAGGATCTGCGGAAATATCTTTGCAAGGTAATTTGTGTGATTCATTAGTAGTCCCTCATTCAAAAAAAAAATGATTAATTACATTACATGTAGTAAGTGTGAGAAACTTACAATTTTGTTTAAAATTTTGCTAGAGAAACCATGAAGTAAACACAATTTTTAGTAACAGTTGGAAGCTGAACGACATGCACTTGTCCACCATTTTCCTCAGTTAAGTTGTAGCTACTGGTGCTGGTGCATATCACCCGGTCGTAGATTAAGAGACAGTGGACGATGTGCCCTCTAACTAAGTTGGGGCTGGGGATGAAGAACCACAAAGCCATCGAGATTCTCTTTACCAAAACAGCGATGATGATGAGATTCGAGTTGAGTTTGGCCGCCGCATGGCACGCAGTCGAAGGGGAAATGCGTGCAACGTCACCTCGTCTTCATGACCGATTCGTAAAAGATCGGCAAGGGCACGCAAATCCAACGACAATACTCGATAGGATATCCTTGACGTGGTGAGGGAGATGCACAATGATTTGCGTGAAGATATTCGTTCAAGCAAAGAGAGTCTGCCGAGTGCCAAGACTGTTAACGGACCGAGTGAAGCGAGTGTCATATTAACATTGTTGGCGGAAAAGGGACTTGATCCGCGTACGCAGGCCTATGCGTTTGAGAAAATATTTAAAGACGACGCATGGCGTCCAATTTGGGGAGAAATTGGTGAGTCGTTAAGGAGGGCATTCCTCAATGACTTCATTTCAGTGCCACAAACTCCATTTATTTACCAGGTTTCTAATCCTTATAACCAACCACCGTAAACCTTCTCTCAAGTGCCAAATCCTTACCAACAGCCGCCAACCCACTTTGGACAGCAAACACATTCCTTCAGTCAGCCACCTAATCTATACAACCACCCCCCCAAACCCATTTACCCGTCCGTCAACTCCATAGATGTAATGGAGGGATTGTTCTTTTACATTCAAACTTATATGGTCGATTTTCTGATTAGATTTGACCATAGATTAGTCTTTTTTTTACATTTGAGTGCATTTTAAATGAACTATGGATATGTATAAGGTGTTGTTGGACACCTAATCATGTAGCAAACTATCATTTGAGTGATTGTTATGTAATTCAGTGTCTTTGACTTGTTCTCATGATATATCTCGTTTGTATATATGAGTTACCATTTCTTTATGCTTCCATTGGATATGCAGGTAGATTCTGTTACTATGCATGAGTGATATAATTCTTTGTTTGACACAAGCCTAATCTTTTTACAAGGGTGAATAATATAATTCTCATGCCTCATGTATTATTAATGATAAATGAGTAGAACTGTGATGGATGAGATAATTTGTATCTACATGTGAACTCATAAAGTATTAGGATGCAAGGAGAAGGATCGGGAAATACAAATGACGAACGGGACAAAAGCAACCGTTCGAGACGAAGACGGCGATCTATTGCTGCAATAGGTGCTGCAACAACTGCAGCCGCTTATTTGTCTACTGAATCGGTACCAAGGCCAATGCACATTTCTTCTCTAAGGGGAATGGATAAGGTAAATGAGTTATTAGCAAATAATAATGAGACAACTATGTTTAACAAGGTACGTATAGAAACACGTGCATTTATGAATCTCTGTGACATACTAACTGAGAGAGGATTGCTACAACTGTCATACAACATAAATGTCCCAGAACAATTATTTGCTTTTATGACAATCATTTTGTAAAGTCAAACTAACCGTGAATCGCAAGATGTATGACAACATTCTGGGGAGACCATTTCACGAAGGTTTAGTGATGTTTTAGACGTTATCTGTGCACTACACGATGATTTCATTAAACCCCCAAACTATGTCAAAGTGCATGATTTTTTACATCAGAATTGTCAGAGATATGGCACATGGTTCGATGTAAGTTGTGTAACTCTTTTACATATGTTCTTTTTTTAATATCTGTCATTATTCTTCACATAAATTTGTCCAAAACGATGTTTATGTGGTACTTATGTGAATCATGATTCTGAATCTAAAGACTCAAATCACTCTGATTTCAATCCTTATACCAAACAGACCCTTATAGTTTGAACTCAAAAGTATTTATGGGCTTGGCAAGACCGGCTTGAAGTCCTTTTTTTCTTTTTCTTTTTTTTTTGGTATTCTTAACAAATACCACTTGAAATTGTACGTGTCAGGAATTTTACTTTTTATGTTTGATTCATAACATTTTTAGTCAAATAATTACACTAACAAAAGGGTATTTATCAAGAGTAAGTGGTAAAGGTCTATACTAATATACTCTCAAAGATAAATTCTCCATTTTTTTATTTTTTTTAAAATTATCCTTAAAATGTTCGAGCATGTCTGACCCGATCCTGACCTATCGAGTTTTATAGCCAGATCGCGTCTTCCTCTCTCCTTCTAGGATCGGACGGTGTAGCCCGATTAAAAAATTTTGAGCTTTGAGTCAACCTCTGCAGCCCGAACTTTCGCTTTTAAATTTTAAAGATCATAGATCTAATCGTGACTGCATAAATAACTTGGGGACTGATTTGGTAATTAAATCCTTTTTTTGTTATTGTGGCGACAAAACTCTTGTAATGTATGATATTTGCCCAATTTTTTTATGAAATTTTAAAAATTGTTTAGGTACCAAAATATTTCTCAAGTGTAAAATATATTATGCAATTTTTGGTTTTAATCCATATTTTGGTGAGATGGTAGTGGATTCTCTATATAAAAATTGGTTACTAGATGTATTTTAAAATTTTTATTTAGTTTATTAATATTATAATATTAACATGTGATTTTTGTTTCTTCTAGTTATAATCCGCATTGCTTGAATCAAGATGAAGTTCCAAAGCTAATTAAGCCTCATATCACGTAATTTTAGTCTTTAGAATTATATATATTACGTTTAAATTTTTCACGTAAAACTTGTTCATCATTTTTTAATTTATGTTTATTATATCTTAAAATATCATAAAGATTTTTATTTTGAATGAAATTCCAATATTTTTCATAGTTTTTTTTTCTCGATATTTCCTTTGATATTGATATGTTTTAAAATTTCTTTAAGTTCAAAATATTAATATTTTTTTATATTGATATTTTCATTATTGGTGATATGATAAATCAATAATAATCTTGTAGTTTTAAATCCCTTTTTTGTAGTAAGTGATTTTTTTTTTTTCTGATTGGAATAACAGATGTGTAGATCATTTTGTTAGATTACAAAAACAAATGGTTTACTCTCATAATTTTTAAAGAAAAAAATAATCATTTTTCCATATGGGTGATCAAATATACCCTTTTGCAGGAAAATAGAGACAAAAAAAATTTCTGTAATACATCATAAATTAGTAGACAACAACATTAATTAAAAGTTATTAGCCTACTAGAGTTGATGTTAAGATATATATTAAGAAGGACTCAAATCTGATGTTCAATTTTATGTCTTAATCGGTGTCTAACTAATCAACTCATGTCACGTCATGTAAAAAATTTAGATTGCTTTTTAACTTACTCTTTTGTGCTTATCATGGAATAATATGGTATGATTTAATTGGTTAGACACATTAATTCTATTAGGAATCCCCTAATTCAGAAAAGACATCCAAGGAATAATTTTGAAAGAACAAATAAAAAATAAGAGCTAGTATTTACGGTGGAGCAAGTTACTTCAATGAGAATCGTATTTTTACCGTTATATTCAGTTTTTAATAGTCAAAATCACAGCAGGAACAAATCTGTGTGATATGTCGTAAATTTTTAATACGGATATATGCATATTTAAACCATTAAAAAACTAATCCAATAGTTAAAATAAATGTTCCAATTAATGGAGCAAAAGAGCTTGCTCCACTATAAAGATTATCACAAAAAATATATTGAGGAATATTTGAAAATCTGTACTGTAGGGTTTCATGAACAAAACAAAAAAAGAACGATGCACTTTAATCTTTTTTTTTTTTCCGTTGCCCTTTGTGCAGATATAAATTATTCCAGACTTGATAGACAAGTGATTATACATAGTCTAACTAGAAAGCAAGAATACATGACCCAAAAATCCTTCTATTTCATACACACACGTGGGTAGCTATAGCCAGAAATCATGTATAACTTGAAGAAGGAAAGAACCCATTTTGCAATATATATACATATATATATATATATATATATTTATATATATTCTCTGCCCACAATTCTTCGTCACAAATAATAGTTTTTTTCAGCTAGCTGCTAGTTAACCATGGCCTGTTTGGGATTTTTCTTTGGCTGCAAACATTCCCATTCAATCACAACGTATGTTCTAACAGCTCTTGTGATCATAAGCATTCTGTTTTGTCTGCGTATTCTTTACCACATTCTTTATCGATACCTAAAGAAGGAAAATCCTCGCACTCATGAAGAAAATCCAAGCAATGATCACTTGGAAATGCAGTCAGCTGACAACACAGCCCCCGTCCACAGATTCATCTAAAGAAGGCAATATTCTGTCCTGAATTTGTTGTGAAGTACTTCGATAAAATTAAGAATTCTTATCATAATGAAATTTGTCAAAATTTTCACGATCATACAAATGCAGACACATGACACACAAACACACACAATTAGGCTACATTATCTAGGAGTCACATATTTGTAACATTATGCTTAATTATATTGATCAATCTAGCTATTGCATTATAAAGGGCAGTCTTGCAATAAAACTAAAGTTGTAATGATTGTTTCCCTTATACTTACTATGACCACCATATACATGTAATTACTTTTGATCAAAATTAACGTATGGATGATCATTTGTTATCTGTACACTGTTTTCGTTCCTTATAATTAACTCACAATTAACCCTTTTCATAATCCAAATTCCAATCTGATGACCAAACCTAATTTTAATTAATTAATTAATCTAGAGCTCAAAATACTCGCACCCACTAGGAGTCGAACACCGGTTCATATAATTCACGCCTGACGTCACTACTCGCCACACCTTAAGCACGCCGTCAAGGCTACCAGTGCAAATAGTACACCCCTCCTGATCACTGATATCCTCCCCGAACCGGCCAGAAAAGGCAGCGACGGAGCGGACGGGCCCGCGGTGGCCGACGAGCACCGCCAAGCAGGTGTGCTGGCCGTCCTGTTCCCTGGCCCAAACCCTACTGGTGGAGTCGGCCGAGCCGCTAACGACGAAGTTCGCCACGCTGGCGAGGCACATCACGGCGTGGGTGTGGCCCTGGAGCGCGCCGCCGTACTGGAGCTGGCCGGAGTACCAGCCCTTGAGCCAGTAGTGGATGTAGCCGTCGGTGCAGCCGCCGTAGAGGACGGCGCCGTCGGGGGTTAGGGTTAGGGCCTTGACGGGGGAGTACTTGGCTGGGAGGGTGACGGTGAGGGAGTGGGGCTGGTCGCCGCGGCAGAAGTTGCGCCGCCACACCTTGACGGTGGCGTCGTCGGAGGCGGTGAAGAGGACTCCGTCGTCGGCGACGATTATGGCATTGATCGGCTCCGGGTGGGCCTGGATTGTCTCAATGCACTTGAGGTCGGAGATTCTCCACACTTTGACGGTTTTGTCCATGGAAGCCGAGTATAGGATGTCGTCCGAGACATTGATCGCTACGGATGTTATAGGCCCCATATGCTTCGTCTGTTTAATACAATAATATTGATAATTAACATGAACTAAATCTTATTATATATACTACATGATGAAGGATGATTAATTAAACCATAACAATGACAAGCATTAATATAATTTATAATGTGATAAAGGATTCAATTTTGCAGTTACTGGAGAAAGAGATCTGCAGTCCCCAGTTGTTACACACCTAATTAATTTAATTTAATTCATAACCTCATGTTTGTCTTATGTAATAATGAGCCATAAAGAGAAGCACCAATATCCATGGTCTATCCAGTAACTTCGGTGTGAGTCTATGACATATTAAAGTATATTTCTGCATATATTAGTGCCAATAAAAAAAAAATTGTTTAGAATTTATTAACACCAACGACCTCTACATTTGGACCGATAGGTTGTCATTATGTACCCTAAAAAAAAGATAGGTCGTCATTATGTTTAACCTACTTCCCAGGTGAATATATATATAACATATGCAAGTCATGATTTTAGGTAGCTATGGTTGTTTAATATTTAATCCAAAACCTTTTTAATTTTTTGCAGAATCAAAACCTTTTCATTTACTAGATCTGCTGGCGATTTGACAACACTTGTAGTGTAATAAAAATAAACCTAATAACCTGATAACCAAGCTAGTTATATATAGTATTAGTGTTACTAACATTACTAATGCCATGCATAAATGAAAATAAATTTTCCAATTAAGGCAAGTAATCAAAACTAACACTAACCATCTTCTCTTTGCCGGAAATGTAGCTGCGGACATAGTTACCCGTCTTTGGAATCGTCGCCAAGCGGACATGCTTCAACCCTTCGTCCCAAGTTCTCTGCCAAACCCTAATCTTCCCATCCCCATAAGCCGCGTAAACCCTGTCATGGGACACCTCCAAGGCCACCACCATGCAGGCCTTGGTCTTGAGCTGGCCACACTCGGAGAACTCCGGCAGCTTCCACACCCTTATGACATTGATATCGGAGCCAGTGTAGACGAGGCCGTTGGAGGCGGCAATGGACAAAATCTGGCCGTCCTTGAGAGGGGGTGGAGAGGGGAGGAGGCCGGGGAGGCGTGGAGGCTCTGGGAGAGGGAGGGGGAGCTCCGGCGCGGCGGGGTGTAGGGGAACTCCGAGAAGGAGGCTTCCTTTGTGGACGTGCTTCGCAAGAACGTGTTGATGTGTGTGGCTGCTGCTGTTGTACTTCTTAGTGCAAAAGATGGATTTGGAGGAGAGTTGGGAGATTCTAGTGAGGCCATGTTTGTCTAGTTCTCTTGCTTTCAAGACACGACTTGGTTATGAATGTTGTGCATCATATATGGTTTGGTTTTCATGGTAAAAGCAGTGTGTGTGTAGATAATATATATATATATATATATATATATGCATTATTCTCACTGACGGATGACGCCTTCCCAATTGTGAAGTGTTGGATATGCGTGTATTAATTAAATTTATAAGCATTCATGTTCCCCATTTTTCTCTTCACTTATTTTCGTATATATTATCTTGGGAGGGAGTTGGGAGTCAATAAATATGCTACAAGTACTTATTTTTTTTTTTCCGTGAATCTTCGAGAGTCAGTAAATATGGTACAAGTACATACTTAATTTTTTTTTTCGTGAATTTTCGAGATAAAACCATTGAGGCTCCATTTAGTTTGAGGGATGGATATTAGAAATGATTAAGAGAGTTGGAGAAATAAGAAACATGAATGATGATGGTTATGTTATTCCTGTTGTTCGGTATAAAGGAGTGAGTTAAAACATAGATGATAATTATCTATCACTTGTAATATTACTTATTTTAATATTATTTTTTGGATAATAAAATCGTCTTTTATCTTATTTTGATGGATTAATTGAATCTTTCAATTAATAGAAGAGAAATGCTAGGGTCCAAAATAGTGGGTCCAAGGAAGAGTTCTTTATCTCCTTCCCTTCCTGCTTCCAATCAAATATGCTCCAGTAGCAAAGAGAACGAGAAAATTTATTTAGGGCTTGAGTTCAATCAAATTTTGAACTAATTGTGTACGTATATATTAAGTTTGAGTTCAATAAAAAAAAAGAACTTCAGGCAAAAAATTCATTCTTCTACCACATAAATCTACGGATAAAAATAAGATGGTTGGAGCTTTTCATATATATCTCAAATATTGAGGTTTTAAATTTGAATATGACATAGTAGCAAAACACGATCTTCGTGTTACTTCTCTTGCATTTTATTAGAGGTTTAATTCCTAATATTTGTATTTAATTTTTCAAAATAATAACGTTGTGTATATAACGTGCATGAATTTTTGAGACTTGGTGAGAATAGTAACTCATCTCCTTTTTCATTCCACTTGTGACTTGTCCATTTATATTTTACCATTTGCCATTTAGTATTTTACATATTTGCCTATTGAATTTATATGACTTTAGTAATTTGCTTTTTAAATTTTAAATTTTAATGTTTTTTTAATTCATAAAATTATCGTAATATGTTTCATTCTGGCGATAATTGTGTTAAATTGGTATAAAAAACACATTTAGACGAAAAATTCTAACATCTCAATTCAAATGTAAAAAAAAAAAAAAAAAAAAAATTTAATTCCTCATCTTTTAATCCCTTAAATTTAATGAAAAATTTGAACAAATTTAGTAAAATAAGACACATTGTAACAGTTTTACAAGTTGAGGAGATTAATTGTCAAAATTAAAAATTTAAAGAATAATTTACTAAACAATGATAAGTTCAGAAGATAATTGTACTAAAAACTCTTTTATTATTTTTTAGTCCTTGGGTTTTTAAGGAGAAAAAAAAAGACAATTATACTAGAAACTCTTTTATTATTTAGTCTTTGGGTTTTTAAAGAGAAAAAAAAAAGACAATTGTACTAAAAACTCTTTTTATTATTTAGTCCTTGGGTTTGAAAAAAAAAAAACCCCCGAAGAAAAAAACTGAAAAAAAAAAAAGAACTCTTGAAAATTTTTTAAAATGCTCAACTTTAAATGAAAATTCTCAAAAATAAAAAACAAATTGTACACTATACGAGTGGGATCGGAGGCACGAGTGACAGTCTCACGCCCAAATACACTCTCCTCTACTGAATTGCGACCCCTACTCTACTCTGCTTACTTGCAATTCATAGACAGTAGCAGTGTTTTCCAGATAGATGCCGGTTGCTCCCACCCAAACCGCCAAAATGCTGGAGCGCGCCGTCTCTTCTCGGCGAGCCTCGCCTCACAACGACGACGACGACGCCGACGCCGACGCGGCGGCGGCGGCGGATGAGTCCAAGACCAAGAGGCACCTCCCTTTCTCCTTCTTCACCACTCGCCTCACCTTCTACTTTGCCCGATTGGGTCCTCTCTGGCCCTGCGTCGCCGCTCTCTCTCTCGCCCTCATTCTCATCTTCTCTCTAGCCTTCCACTCCCGGACCTTCGTCTGCGTCTCTCCTCACGACCCCGTTTACCGATCCGGTTTCTTCGGCTTCGACGCTCTCGAATCCGATTTCGGATCCCTCGGCGTCCCCTGGTGTAAGTGTTTTTTCGCTCAGATCTGATCTCATTGTGGAATTTTCTGTTTGGTAATTGAAGATTAGACGATTAGGTTTCCGATTTTGAATTTTGGATCTCTTATGCGGATTAGCTAGGTTAACCAATTATATCAGATTGTTATTAATTGATGTTTATTTTCCAACAATTGATTGAAGTGGCAATGATTTGGGAATTTGCTGATGATTTTGAATAACATAGTTTTATTTCTAGTTTATGAGTGATGTATTTGGATTAGTGGAGCTTCTTGTGCAAATAATTCTGGTTGCTGTTTAACTCTTAATATCTGCAATCTGGTAATCCTGAGGATTTCTGATAAGTAGAATTGCGGGAGATAGCAAAATCTTTATTATTCTATTGCTCAACATCTGCAATCTGGTAGTGGTAAATGGTAATCTATTGGATGATATGTGGATTTTGGATTATGGAGTTTGAGTTTGTTTCAAGTGAAATTGTGTAAGAACCGCGAGTAATGAGTAGTGTTTTAGTTGATTGTTATTATCTTGTCCTTGGCAAAAGGCAGATCGAAACATGGAAAAACGGTAGAATGGACATCTAAGGATCTACTCAAGGGCTTGGAAGAGTTTGTGCCGATATACGAAACCCGGCCAATTAAAAACAACATGTATGGCATGGGATTTGACCACAGCTTTGGGCTTTGGTTCATTGCTCGGTGGCTGAAGCTGGATCTGATGATTGAGAGTGGCGCTTTCAAGGGCCACTCCACTTGGGTTTTGCGGCAAGCGATGCCGGAAACACGGATTATTTCTATTACACCTCGGCATCCTGAGAAGTATCTAAAGAAGGGGCCTGCGTATGTTGATGGAAACTGCACATACTTTGCTGGAAAGGACTTTGTAGATTTTGGAAGCATTGATTGGGGAAAGGTGATGAAAAAACATGGGATTACTGATCTTAGTCGGGTTCTCATTTTCTTTGATGACCATCAGAATGAATTAAAAAGGTACTTGCAGTATCTTAATGCAATCTGTTGCTTTCTTTCAGTATTGAATTTCCACTAAAATAGCTAATTGCTGGATCCTTTCTATGTCATGGTCTGATGACCAGAATAAGGCAGGCTCTAGAAGCTGGCTTTCGGCATATAGTCTTTGAGGATAACTATGATACTGGGACGGGAGACCATTATTCCTTGAGGCACATTTGCGATCAGTCCTATATAAGAGGTGCGTGCCATCCCATTTGGACTTTTCGTTACAGCCTTGTGAGCTTTTTTTCCCCCCTCAATATTTATCATAGCGGTTGTAAAGATCATGTGTGGAAACTATTCTGGATATTAATTTGGTCTTATAAGCTTTATTTCTATGAATTTAACTTAATATAGTCATCAATCGAATTAAAATTTTGTTGACTATAGATACTGCTTCAAGAGGTGTTGTAATGGCTATTTTTTTTTTGGTTTAGGAGGTGGCCATAGCTGCTTTAAAGACAGTGATGAAGCCAGGATCAGGGGGAGAAGGAAGAAGTTCTGGGAAAAAGCAGTGGATATTGAAGAACTTTGTGGACCGGATGAAGCATGGTGGGGTGTTCGAGGATACATGCGAGATAACTTTAATCACAGTAACAAACCAATTACCTACACAGAGCATTTCCAGAACAGCCGGTTCGTGGAATCAATCCTTGATGTTTATTGGGAGCTTCCTCCAGTGGCGGGTCCTTCCCTCACTCACCAGACCAGATATGACCCTGCTCGTGCACCACCACCTATCATTGAAGATGGCCGATATGGCCTATTCCAGAGGCTTGGTTTGACCAGACTTGATACGTCCGTGTTCAATGGATATACTCAGTTGGTTTACATTGAGATATCCAGGCAGTGATTTTAGTCTTTCAGAGCTGTCTGGATGGAGAGGATTGTTTAGCTTTCACTAGTTTGTTAATATCAAGTGAATCTTTTTTCTTAAAATATTTTCGCCCAGCAATTTAGCTTGGTCATTTCCTTTGATTTTCTTACCACTTTTTCCCCCAGAATCAATACTATATAGACCTGTTTACATCTGTGCAACTTTACCATCCGTGTTTATTCATTGCCTTTTACCCTTAATTATTTTTTTTTTCAGTATTAGGACTCGGTAACATAATCACATTCAAGACTAATTTGTTTGGATTAGCAGCATTTACACGATAATGATGGATACAACATAGCACGCATCAACATAATAGATTTGGAGAAATCCAGAGCAATATAGGCAGACCCAGACTGACTTGTAAAAAATAGTGTAAACCTGTTCAGTCAAAGCGCAAATATGGGAAAAAGTCTGTTCAGTTTTGCCCCATTTAACCTTTGTACTTTGTGTGACCATGTCTCCTACTATAGTATTCAGTCACATAATTCTTTGTCACGTTGGTAGATAAAAATAGAAAACTTTTGTTCAAATTATTTGTGAGAGAAGACTGCAATAAAAAAGTTTGAATTGTAACCAATGAAGCAAACGCTTAGTAACGTAAAAATTCAAAAATACTCGCCATAGATGAAAATATTTCAAACTATATTTATCTTTAGAAATAGAGTTCTGCAAGCAGTGTTTCATTTACACACTAAACAGAGTTTATGAAACGGATACAAGAAATGAAATTAACATCAAAACAAGCGTATAATATGGTATGTTTAGTGGAATCCTTCCCACTTAAAGAGAATTGTCACGTCCACAAAATCATCCAAATCTAACAAAGTTAAAACCATATGTAACATTGTTCACAAAAACATATGTAACATCCTGCAACAGGCACCCAATTTTGAATCAAGGTTAGGCTTCGCTGCTTCGGAGAATGCCTCTTTGAGCTAGTTTTGGTTCTTGCACTTCTCCATGGCCCTCGGAGCTGAAGTCAAAGCACAACGATGAATGATCAGTTGGTTTCAAGATTTAGATCAATGGAAACTAGAAAGGATATGATCCTGAAATTTTCACATTAGGGCTATACCTAGGCCAATTGCTTCGGAACCTTTCATAATCCTTAATCGCCTACACGTATCGGTGAACATGCTGTCGAAACAAGCAATGAAAAAAGAAAATTAGAAATGAAGAGAAGAGATAATTAAACCTCATAGCTGACAAAATAATGCAGTGTTAAAGTTTTAAGTAAAATAATAAAAGCCAGAAATAGATAGTCTAATAGGAGATTCAGAAGTGGATCTATTATAAAAGCAAGATACTCTCAAGTGAAGTCTTTAAAACATGAAATTCACTTCAGAAGGAAAACTTACTCCCATGGGACGTCACCAACAAGCATCCAATCTTCATCCTTGTCTTCATAAGTAACCACGTATTCAGAACCGTGGAGAAGATCCATCAGACGGCTCTCAGTTAGGCCTTTTCGCTCCGGTAGTCCAGAAGCACCGCACTGCCCTGTACACAGCCATTCACAAGTTCAGATAAAATTGTTTGCAACTCATGCTGCGACTTTTAAGCATTATGCATAGAACTCAAAATTTTACTAAACTAAAGAATGCTTTAAGGTTGTGAATTATGATCTTCTACTCATGCAACATAAAACTCCCCTCCTATTTAAGGACAAAAATATACAATGAAGCAAAATAATCTTGGGTTGAACTAATTTTTAGACCCCAAATTATAGGCCAAATCTTATTTTGATCCCTAACTTTTAAAATATCCAAGAACAAGTCCCAATTTACCAAATTTTGTCCATCCTACTACTAAAATCTCAAAGGAAAATGGCATGACTTCATTCATAATAATCGCGCCCCAACATGTAGAATTACAAAATTCACATTAAACTGTATATGGTCCTCGCGTGTCTTTTTTTCGTTATAGATTTTAACAGGTGGATGGAAGGATTAATTGGAAACAATTTCATAGATCGAGACTCGTTCTATGACCTTTTAAAAATCGAGGATTAAAATCAGATTTGATTTGCAGTTTGGGACTAAAAATGAGATTAACCCATTAATCTTCAATACCACTGGAGGAACATCACTACACTGCTTCATATCAACAGTATAGCTACCAGAAAAGAAGATTCGGCAGAGTACAGCTTTGTTGAGACAATGCAATATAGCTTCTTACTGCTGTTTTGGTATGTACTCTGTGTGTGTGTCTATATATAATATATATATGTGTGTGTGTGTATATATATATATGTAGAGAGAGAGAGAGAGAGAGAGAGAGAGGATTTACCAATGGTAAAGCAACTGAACATTTTCTCAAGAGCCAATGAGAGTTCCCTATAGTTGGTGCAGGTTTTAAGGTCAACCTTGCGCAGGTATGGAGCACCATCCATGCTAACCTTGACATAAAGACAACCGGACCCAGATTTGTCTTGTGTTTCCTCCTCATTATTTTTTGCCAAATTAGAAGCCATGGTGTTCTTCCGAAATGATCGGATTGGTGGCCATCCTACCACCTGTGCCCTGTTTCATATATTACTTACCATGCTCAGAACTTCTATCATCTATGATATGATGTCACACCTCATATCTAAAATATTCCCCAAGTATAATTAAAATTCAGGGAAAAAAATTATTACAACATATTTAAAATCTCTCAAGTGCAATTGAGAATTTGGTTCAACTATCAAAATTGGTAGTATCAACATGCCAAAATAAGCATGGTTGCATGCATAATTTGGCTGAAAATTTACATCTGATTCTATCTTGAAGTGTAAAGTTTACATCTTCACCTCAAATTATATAATATATATATATATATATAACTACAACTACTGTCTCCACCCCCAAATTTGTTTAGAAAAATGCTAGTAATAATAATAATAAGACTAATTCTTTAACAATAATAATCACTATTAATGAAGCAAGAAAACCAGCAAGAGATCAATAAACTCATGTAAACAAGAAAATTTTTTACTTTTTTCACCTCCCCAAAAACTAAAAATACAAGCAACAATAAAAAGAAAAAATTAAAAACTGAGATAGAGAGAGAGAGAGAGAGATGAATGAAAAATACTTGGCAGCAGGAGGAGCACTACCATGCTCAGAAACCTGAGTTTTCGTCTCATGAACTGCTACCGACTTTGAAATTGGAACAACATCTTTCATGGCAGGTACTGACTGGTGAGCACCATTACCATTAGTCTTCCCTTCAACATTCCCACCTCTAGGGGAAAACAAAACAGACCCTTTTCCCAAATCAGCCTCAGACTCAGATCCATTACACACACGATGAGAGAAAACCCATTTCCCAGAGGACCCATCAATGGCGTCAGAGAAGCCTCTCTTGTTGTTGTTGTTGTTGTTGTTGTTGTTGTTATGCTTTTCCTCCAAATCCTTGCCAAAAAGAGAGAGTCCTCCTGGTTTTCTCTCCAGAGAGTGGGACCCAGGCAAGCCAAGTCTTAGCTCGGTCTCCTTAATCTTCTCATCCTCCGTTAGAGTAGAGGAAGAAATAGAAGAAGAAGAAGATGATGAAATATTCTTATTTTCAGAGCTTCTTTCCATTACTAAACAAGAGGAAGAAGAAGAAGAAGGCTCTGTTAAACCTATGTAATCATGTTCTAGTGGTGTAGGCATAAAAAATGGCTCTTGTCAACTATCAAATGGATTAATGGCTTTGAGAAAAACGAGTGTGTTGGAGCTAAGAAGAACAAAAACAAAAGTAGCTTATTGAGAACAGGGAAATGGAGACGAGAGAGAGAGAGGGGGGGATAGTAGGCACAGCACAATGGTTGGTTTAGCTCTGGTTTAGTAGAGAGGTGGTGGTTTTTTTTTTTTTTAATGCAAAAAAAGAACCTTCTTCTTTGGCCTTGCTATAGCTAAGCTAACAACAATTTCTTTTCCTGCTTAAAAATTAGGAAAAAAACTAAAATATTAATAGTTTTTTATTTTTTAACAATTAAATATCTGTTTTATATGTTTTTTTTTTTAATTTAATTAGATTTGATTAAATTTAATAATTAAAAACTTACTTATTGCATTAAAAAAATTACTTATCCTATGAGAGAATGTCCCTAAAATATAATAATAAAAAACAACTTTTCTTGGGAAAAAAATTTTATTCTTTCTATGATTTGGGTACTTATTAATTAGTGATGTTTTTAAGTATTAAATGCGATAAAAATCACACTAAAATACACAACTAACAAAACTCGATACAATATGGTTTAAAACAGAACCCACTCGTAGCAGTGTAAAATTCTCTTTTTTTTCAACAATAATAACTCATAAAGCATGTTATGTCATATAAAACAAATGAAGACATCGTACAGTGGATGTTCTTTTTCCACTTTAATTATTTTCATTCTAATAAATTACAAAAAAAAAAAAAAAAAAATTGTAGAAAAGATATTCGGCAATAGCACCGACAAGTCTCAGAGTATTCCCCGGCAACCTTATACTGTTCCCAACTTGCTTTTACTTTTTTAGCCCCCACAGTGTCCTCTAATCACTATTGCATATCCTTTTGCACGGAACGGGGAATAATTTTTTTTTTTTTTTTTTTTTTAGTTTTTAAAAAGAGATTGCAGAGAAAAGAGGGGCCGGATAAAGAGAAGGGAAAAAAAAAAAAAAAGTACTTTGCAAAATGCACAGCCGAGAAAGTGATTAGACGAGAATGAACCACTGACCCTTTTTCTTGGTTGAATTTTCACTTTGTGAGTGACCAAAAAGTTCCATTGTTGAGGATATTACTTATTGATAATTTGGTATGATTTTTCTTTTTTCTTCTCCAAATATTTCACAATTCCTAAATTACAACATGTTTTAATTTACCATCTGTTATACGTATTGTGTGTATGTGTTTTTTTTTTTTTTTGGTATTTTGTGCGTTCAGTATATTATTACAATATCCTTTTCACAAATTAACGTGGAATTATATATGCATGTACGTGTATAAGGCTACGCGATTATACATAAATCTATCTACATTTTTCTTTTTTTGGCTGACAATCAAAAAATAGAATAATTTTTTATTCGAAATTTAATTTGTTTTTTTTTATTCTTATTTTAAAAAGACTGACTAGCAGTAATTTTTTTCTTGAACACTCAACAGGCGACAGCTTATTACGTAGGTAAGGTTTTTTTTTTTTTTTTTAGCTTTATCATTATTTTCTTTTTTTACTGTTAATTGGGTGTGAATCTTTTGTTTTACCACGCCCGTATCCTGGCGTAATAATTGTGTAATCCAAAAGTGGGAACGCGTGCATCGACGATCAGAAGGTGAACGACAGGTATGACAATCTGACGGTTTTGGTCTCTCCACGTCAACTGTGTGGTTGTTGGGGGACATAACGGCGTTCAGTTTCTGGTCCTGAGAGAGAAGGGAAGTAAACGGTCATGATTAGGTCATTGACTTCTTCAATTCTCCGTTAACCGGTTTTGTAGAACGTTTACCTTGAGTCTTCAAATGTGGAAAAAGTAGACTTTGGTCATTGGTAATTTGGTGGTGTTTTTTTTTCCTCCTTAAATGGGTGGTTTTAATTAGAGTTTGAGGAGAGATAAGAAGAAAAGTGGGGGAGAAAATTACATTTTAAAAGGTATTAGATTTTTTTCTTAAAAGGTTAATTTGTTTAAATAGTAGTTTTAAGAGAATTCTTTATTTTTTAATTAAATTTTAGTTAAAATGGTTAAAAATCTATTTTAACTAGTAATTTTTTGATGAGTTACTTCAATCATGCTCTCTATTTTAGCTAAATATAGATTATTTAAACATTTATTGAATTTAAATATAAATAAATTTATTTAATTTAAAAAAGTCCCTTTGCATTTATTGGGTATGAAATAATAAAATAATACAATAAATCAAATACCTAACCACTTCTTGCTAGTTATATTTAGCTAATGTGAAATAGATTCTCTAAAATAACTAACTATTTAGCTAATGGTTAGAGTGGAGAAAAACTAAATTTTAGCTAAATCATTAACTATTTTAGCTAAAAACATAAAATAGCTAGCATGGTTGAAGTTGCTCTAAGTGGGGTGACTTAATATCCTTATATGTTTGTGGTTTTGTTTGTATTTAAACGATGTGGGACTTGGATATTCTTACTCTTAACACGCCCCCGCAAGATGGTGACTCTGTGGAGTCACCAATCTTGTATTTTTTATGGATCGACCCAGCCCGTTTGAGCAATAGGCTCTGATACCATATTACATATTTTTCATGAGAGATGAGAAGAAAAGTGAGGGAGAAAATTGCACTTTATAAGATATTGGGTTTCCACCTTATATGGCTATGGTTTTATTTGTATTTAAACGATGTAAGACTCGAATATTCTTACCCTTAATAGTTCTCACTTTGAAAACAATATAGTGTATACCGGATTTTTAGAACAATTACTCCCTAAACTTGTCATGGTTTAACATTTTGTCTCTTAAATTTTTAATTTAAGTAATCAACCTCCTATTTTTTATAAAATGTTACAATGTGCCCATTTTATTAAATTTGTTTAAATTTTTATTAGATTTAAGGGATTAAAAATTTAAAATTTTAAATATTTGTATTACATTTGAATTGAGATGTTAGAATTTTTCATCTAACATGCTTTAATTTTTGAATTGCTAAATTGAGGCATATTGTAATAATTTTACTAGTTGAGGGGACAATTTGTGAAAATTAAAAGTTTAAAAGACAAGTTGCTAAAACCATACGAGTTCAGGGAGTAAATGTGTAAATATTTTAAACCTAAAAATTTATCGTAGGTTTTTATAAGAACAGATAAAAATATGTTTTCACTTAAACTTCGAAGATTAATCATAATACATATTACGCATTATCAATGAGATTTTTTTAGCGTACAAGAAAATCTCTAAATATATAGGAATAGTAGCTTATTTGAAAATAAGGGGGAAAATGATAATTTTTGTTTTATGCTAAGTCTCTCATTGGCATTGGAATTTTGATAATTTAAACGATTATTTCTTTTGGCTGCTAAAACAAACACAAGGACACGTGTATTGATTTGCAATATGAAAAAAATTGGAAGAAAGGATAACAAAATTGAAGAAGAAAGTATCAATCAATAGGACAACAAAAACGAACGTGAGATTCTCTTAAAAAAAAAACAAAAACAAAAACAAACGAATGTGAGACGTTATTAGTTGTTATCACATTTGTTGGTTTTATAATATCATTTTCCTTGCAAGTTTGTGTGTGAATTATTGGATTAGGTATCGATTCCTTCCACGCTATAGTTAATTAAGAGCTAGAAGTGTGCACTAAATTTCGACGTTACATGAAATACACAATGCCCTTAAATTGGAATAATCATCTTAAATAAAGTGCTAGATATTCCTAACAATTTACCTTACTTCTAAACCATGTAGGGCACGCAATCGTGAAATTGTATCATATAATTTTCAATGCCCACTTGCAAAGAGAGAAGATAATTATAACGAGCTTACAATATTGAGAGAAAGGGCAATAATTTTTTTCTACTTTTTTTTTTTTTTTTAAATAAAAGCCTATTAAGCCCCACAAAATGTAATCACAAGGGATCATTAACTTTTCCCTATTTTATATTTATAAGTTAATAAAAAATAAAAATAAAAAGATCTCTAGTACATTGCATCACTAAAAGAGCCGCCCATAGAAACCAATATTAGCTAGATATATATATATATAACCAAATTGGTAGGTACAATATATGACATACCTTTATTGTCCAACCCATATTCTCAGTATCATTATACCATGGTTGAACTTTGGAGCTTTAAAAAATAAATAAACTAAAATATACCCTTTGTAGGTTTAAAAATTCTTATTATTATACATAAAGTATATCTCACCCACACTGCGCATGATCTCCACATACACTTGATAAACCAATAGCGTTAAGAGAAAATCCCAAACTAAAGCATGTTTATGAAATCGTAATCACACCTTGATTTCTTTACCTTTATACTAGAACCACAAACAATCTAATTTGGGCTTCAGGCCAAGATTTCGGTATCATCTTTTATGAAAGAAAATAAGAAAATATAATCGCCTAATGTGAAAGTAGAAAGCAGCCAAAAGCCATAGAATAAAAACTTAGATCCGCATCGCTGGTCCACGAGTTGGGAGATCATAGTATTAGTTTGTCCATGTTCAAGTAAATCTCCCCCAAAAAAAAAAAAAAAAAAAAGATGCAAAAAGAATGAAATAAGCAGGACCATTACTTTGATATTAGAGTTCTTTTTTTCTTTTTCTTTTTTGAGCTGAATTAGATATTTCTAATAGTTGATAATATAAGTTTGTTACTATTTTTGCATATATATATATATATATATATATATATAATAGGACGTAAAGATCAGTTATGTTTATTTGGCATAGAGCTTGAAGTGCATGTGCTTTAGGACCACACTTGAATAACAATGGTATTTTTGTGAATTTTCCCAGGCTTTATTGTCACACTGAATAGCTACTGTCCTGCCATCCCCCGTTATTTCATTTGAAAGCCTCACATCAACAAGAATTTTGGTCCATTAATGCTTTCATTGAAAACGAAATGCAATTCGGGGGAACATTATAAAGTGCTTTCGGTCACTAGAATATTGGTTGAACCTCATGATTTTGGAGAAATTTTTGGGACAAATTTTTTTTTTGCTATTTGTAGTATAGACGTATATAACTAAGGGAGAAAAGTACACAACAGATTTATAGTAAATAATTAAAACTATTTTAAGTAAATAACAGTTTAAAGCGTAAATTTTTTTTTTACGACCGGTAAAAGAGTTTATTCTATATAAATAAAGATTTTTTACTACATAAATTATTTTGTTTATCAATAGTAAATAAAATATTTACACGGAAAACTGTTATTTACTTAAAC